GGCGGGAGGAGAGGGGGCGGGGACGGGGGGAGGGAGGACGGAAGAGGGAGGGGGAGAGAAGGAGAGGGGCAAGAGAGAAGGAGGAGAGGGTAGGAAGGGCAGGAGAGAGCAAGAGAAAGCCGAGGGGAGCAGGGGAAGAGCAGGCAAGGAGGGGAGGGGGAGAGGGAAGAGAAGGGGAGGAGGGGAGAGGAGGGGGGGGGTAGCAGGGCGAGGGCGCAGAGCACGGACTGGACAACGGAGAGCCGGGGAACAGCAGGCAAGATAAAGGCAATACATGAGGGGGCGCGAGCAAGCAGGGGCAAGAGAGACGGCGGAACAAAGCAACACAAGGCGAGGCACAGAAAGAAGCGAGGGGGGGGGACACGAAAACACAAGCGCGAGTACAGGGTGAGCGATTTTATACATGAGCACAGGGGCGTAAGATCCGTAACCGAGGAGTGGGGGAGGAATACCATGCCAAATTTTGACAACCATAAAGTTTAAAAATTTGGAAGCGCCCCCATAGTGTTCGGACACCATTTTGGAAAGGAACCAAATTTGGACATATAAGGTAAATGTATGTGTAACTGTATAGGCATAACACGGTATCAGTATGATCCACGATTCATTTAGAGTACAGGGTCTCCAACCCTGTGAACTCCAAATGCCGAATGAAGGATGGACGCGGGGGAGGCCGGGGGGGCGAAATTAACCTTTGGCTTGGGACCGGCAGGCAGGTCTTGCGTGCCAGTAAGGCATGCCAGTGCTAAGAAGGGTCTGGGGGCATGCCCCACACCCAGAAAATGTGAAGAAAAATAAATGTTTTTTAAAAAAAACCATTTTCCTGCAATCATGAGGCATATCTGTGGGCCATATCTGCAATGTAATGATGACACATCTTCAACCCTATGACTCAACTCTACAAAGTTAGGATCAAAAAACACTTTTCATGACTTTCAAGAGAGCGTAACACGAGGTTGCATACTATATAATAATACATGTAAAAACAACAGGTAAGTAATTGCCAATTCTCAACAATTTTCACGGTGTTTTTGTATGTTTCTAAACCATACTTTTTGCTATTTGTGAGTCTGGAAAACATTTTTCTGAGAGTCATTGCCAATGGTCTCAATTTTCTCATGCAAATTATGCCTGAAATTGAAACAATCAACATTTCTTTCTTTTTCTTCTTCTTCCTCTCGCTGTCTCTTTTTGTTCTATTTTTTAATTGGGGGATATTTGTACAGGCCATCCCCCCTCCTTCAAGAGCGGAGGGGATGCATCCCCCCATCCCCCATTGATTTACGTCCCTGACCACACCATACCACGCCACGCCACGCCACACCACACACACGTCTAACTAACTAGTATATTATTTCTATGGGTTCAACTGACTCCCTGCCCCTCTTCCGCTACCTACGGCCCTGATTGCCTGGTTGTAATGTGCTTACTATTGCGACTAAGTATACCTAATAATCATACCGACTTGAGTGAATCTATCACTAACCCAATATTACGCCGTAAACATCGTGAGGATACGATGACGATCGTCGCCTATCGGACCCTATCCCTTTAGTGAGAAGCCGTCTATCTCGCCGTGCTACGCTATATCTGATGCTGTAGATACCGCACAGTGTATAATTTTCAATATTATAGTCAAGTCATGTCAAATTAAATATGCATCGTAAAAGTACTATACTTTAATTATTAATCAAGCGCACGTACGCCATTATATCTAGGGCCAGCGGGTAGTTGTGTGTATAGTAAATTAATAATTTAATAGTTAGCGTTATCGTTGAATAATTTAATAATGCGTAAATAGTTTTTCTATCGCCTCCTTTAAGAATTCTCACATTGAAGTCACGTACGTAGGCCGGGGAAGTAAACGTGATGTATACATCCTGTAGTAATTTCAAGATGCCTGAATCGCGCGAATCTGCACAAGGCACTGATCTCTATAATATATATATCTAATATATAATATATATATCTAATATATAATATATATATCTAATATATATATCATAATAATATATATATATATATACTATATATAGTATATATATATATATATACTAGTATTAATGTAAATAACTCATATATTATATATATATAATGGAGTAAAAGTTATAACGGAACACGGTAGAACATTTGACTGTGTTTATTGCATACAGAACTGTTTTCGTTGTGGAGCGGAAACAGCTCCACAGCCTCATCAGTGCCTAAAGTCACAGAGTGGTAGGAGAGGATGATATTTAGCAAAACTCCCGAGGCCAGTATAAAAACACATCGCATAATCATGATAATTGTGATCTACCTATTTGCTCCTCACTCATGTAGTATTGAGCACGTCGCGCCTCGACACACGAGTTTTCATAAACAGACCCATTGGAATCTATATATACTAGTATATAATAACTAGAGGCGCAACAGCGCACTCCGTGGCACGCCATGAAGGGCCCACGATGAAGGGCATGATGGGCGAATTGATTTTTCAGTTTAATTTGACATTGGAAATTTTTGGATTTTTGCGATTGTTGAATTTTGTTGGTGTTTTCATTTTTTCTTTTTTGTTGGCTTTTTTTAAGGGGTTTTTGTATTTTTTATGTTTTTTTTTTTTGGATTTTTGGTTTTTTGGTTTTTTTTTGATTCTGGATATAATATCTGCGATCTCTCTCCCTCAACCTGGTGCACATCTGTGGACCGCTGCGCTCTTATATGCCCATTCGTGATATGAACTGTTAGTATGCAATGTGACTCGTGCCAGGTTAGGAATGGAATTCGAGAATAAGACAGACCATGATATTTGCGTGAATAAATCCAAAAAAAAGCAAAAAAAATGAAAATCCAAAATAGCCAATCACTCCAAAATGTCTGTGCTTTAGTTGTGAATTCATCTCCTAAACCTGGCAAGTCAGATTATGCATAGGAAGAGTTAAAGGCACTAACAAAATAGCCCATATACCCAATATGCTTTGTCACTCCACAGACAGACGGACGACGGACAGAGATCGCAGATATATATTAGAATATATATTACTATGATCTCTTATACTATATAGATTATATTATAGAGATACAGTCACCGTCAGTGCACAGCATGCGTCTAAAAGAGGAATTGCTTCCGGACCTGTGATGTGGAGGATAAAAATAGATCCGCCGCCTCGCGACCCGCGCGCATACGTCTACTGCTATGACCGGTAGAAATCGTGTACTAACTATCATAATATGGAGGCGAACGAATTGAGTTACATTTCTATAATATTCTGGTTATGTCATAGACACACTGTCCTTAGCCTTAAATCTCTGTGATTTTCTGAAGTCTATTGAAGGCGGCGATTAGTCTAATTAATAGGCAAACATGCAGGCGCGCTATAAGAGCGGTTGAAACGAAACGCTCACGATTCTATTTTTATCCTCCAAAAATGAGGAAAGTGGGCTGGGGGGGGGTGCGATTTTTTATCCTCCAATCACAGTCGGAGCAATTCCTCCTGTATTTAGACGCATGTCGGGGTGCCAGAGAAGGCAATATATAATGCTGTCCCGCCATCTATCGGGAATATTGAAGTATAACTCCAAAATTTCAAATACATAGCAGAAGTGCGTCGATTTGCGAATCAGAAAAGCTCTTTTCTATATTTTGCAACTATTGACCATTGGTATTGTAGAAATGGACAGTAACTATCCTATTGTAATTCCCTTACTATTGTAATTCCCTTTATCTACTCCTGATGTTGAGTAGAGCGCGACGGTAAAGTGCAGGAAGGCACAGCAGATAGATAAGAAGAAAAATAGAAGGAAAGTCGAAAAGAGCTTAGGGAATAGATACAGAAGGGCAAAGAGGCAACGAATGGAAGAATATATAGATGATAGCAGGCCCGTAGCCAGGGGGGGGGGTTCGGGCGGTTTCGAACGAACCCCCTCGGCCCGAAGCCAAAAAAAAAATTTTTTTTAATATTGAAGAATTTCACCTCAATGTCGCTCTAATTTTAAGTGTAATAATTCAACAAATCTCATCGTGCGGGAGCGGAAACAGTGAACACACCCTCACGCACTCTTCCCCCCGCTCGGTGCTTGATGCCCTCGCCTGGTCGGCTTCGCGTCCGAGCAAGAGGGCGTGTAGCAGGGAGGGTCGCAGGGAGTCCCGGACCCCACCTTGCTCGCGGCAGAAAACGCATCCTGAGGGGATGTAATTTTAAAAAAATTTTCTGGGGGAGGGCCACCCAGAACGCGCGCGCCTTCGCGTGCTCCAACTCGGGTTACGTTAGACGACCCCCCCTGGTACGAAATCCGTACACGCCCCTGCCGAGCAAAATTGCCAACATTGAAAAACACGAAACAGACCTCCCCCCCCCAAAACAAAGCTGCGCTACGGGCCTGTGATAGTATAGGAATATGGATGGTAGAGGATCTGAAACAATCAGGAAGATAACAGACAAGACAACGTGAGGAGGTAGGTGAAATACCGGAGAATAGGTGGAGGACGTAATGAATGTTGAGGAGAGGGAGAAAACAGACAAGGCCGGTAAAATGTAGATGAGCGGAACGTTGACATAGAGAAAGGGATTCTAGGACTATCTATTACCCCCTGGACAACTACCACCCGGACAACTACCCCCCTAGGACAACTACCACCCGGACAATTACCCCCCGGACAACTACCCCCCTAAGACAACCCTAACACCCTAACCCTAACCTTAACCCTACTAACCCTAACTTTAACCTTTAGGGGGTAGTTGTCCGGGTGGGTAGTTGTCCAGGGGGTAGTCGTCCGGATACGAGAGAGAGGTAATTTTAAGGAATGTGAGCGAGTTAGAGGGAACGAATGGGGAAGGAAGTGAGTGAAGAGGAGTGATCGAATACATTTGCGCGTATATCTGCATTCGTGCTGTATTCGTTCTGTATATCTTTATTTGTTCTGTATTCATTTTTGTGTATCTGTACCTGTAACCTGTATCCGTATGTCTGTAATAATTTGATTTCGTCAGCTAATTATATCAGTCGGTAGATGGCGCGCATGGCAATAAAAATACACAGCCCACACAACACACAACACAGGAGCTGAGAGTTCTCAGGAGCACAGGAGGTCCTAAAGCACCATGGCAAAATCTGTGCCGTTTGTAAAGTTTAGTAATGGACAGAAGTATCCACAACTAGGATTGGGAACCTGGCTGGTAAGGAGATCTAGTATTACTATTAGTATTATTATTGGGCTAGTTATATCCTACATAATATTACAACCGTCGTATCCGTTGCCTTGATGCCAAATTTGGACACTACTCGGCACAGGCACTCGAAGCGTTTCAACTGTAAACACACGCCGCCGCCATTGCGCGCACACTGACACTGAAACCTGATGCGGTAGGGTGGGGGGAGGGGGAGGTCCGGACGACCACTGTTTGGTGTTTTACCTCAGGATACCTCAGGATATATTTCCGAACTCAGGCCTACCCCTCTATATTCGGCTCCTTCTTTCTACATGCTCCCGTTGGAGAAGTGCAGTAGTCGTAGAGAAGACTCATTCTGCCATTGTCCAGTGGGGCTGAAGGGGTCGTTGTCGTATCAGGTACTACATATATCAGGAGTTAATAAAGACAAAATTGTCTTTATTAACTCCTGA